GTGCATAACTAAAGCACAGTCTTAGACCTCACATTCATAGGTGCACAATGGCTTTGCCTTACCTCATTGCACTGAGACCCAGTTGCGCCCCGGACACCACCCTTTTTCCATATCTTGGCCTTTATTAGATGTCACGTTTTTGTTGTTGTGTGTGTAGTTTTGTGGCTTTGCGGTTGGGTGATAAATTTCATTGTCTTCGCCGCTTCTCCTGCTGCTGTGTGATCTCCGCTTTTTTTTTTCTCATTCATCTACGTCCTTCGAGCCATATCAGCAGGCGTTAGCCGAGTGAACGACTTGAGGACCTTCACATCGGCAACCCAGCGAGGACCAAATTCATCCATACACAGCCAAAAACACAGCCTTGGATATAACTCTTGCTGAGTTATAATGCTGCCATCCCTTATAGGTTGTATATTGTGTTGGTTTCTAATATTATATTAATGGTAAGTATAGCTTTCCTCCTTTTTTCAGTCTCTAAGCTAATCTATGAGTTGGTAATTAAAAAATTGTTATAAATGATCTTGCTTTGTTAAGAAAAACTCTGCTTTAGTTTACCTAAACGAATAATATTGACTAATTTAAAGATAATTCCCCTCCGTGTAGCTTCAGCCATGTGTGCCATCGGTTGGATCCTACAAATGACACAAAACTGCCAAACCAAATCACTATGAATGTCGCTTGAGTTTCGTCATTCGGACCAAAGTTGTTTCCTCTCAATCTCTCTGCCTTCCTGGCCAGCCCATTCTCCCCTAGTTCACCCCTCCCCTCGCCAGGGGCTAACGAATTTTGACAGGTGCCATTATTAGTTCAGCACTCTGGCATTTTTTGCGGTGGCTACGCTCTTGTGTTTTTTTTGGTTTTCGGTTGGATTTGGGTTTGGCTTTGTTTTTGCGCGCTCTGTCCCGTGCGTTCTAGAGTTTTATGACCATAAGAGTTTTACTCCTCAGATAGATGACAGCAATAAAAGTGCGCACAGACACGGGACCTTGATGCGGCACGGTCGTTTTATCACACGAACACACATTGCTCATACGCAACGGTGGCCACAGGCTTCCGCCTTCCTTTGGCCTCGCTGGCTGCACTAATTAAACTTGTGCCCGCCTCTTATTATGGCTGCATTGCATGGCATCGGTTAATGTGAGTTACACGACATGGCACACACAGCATACACCTACATACCTGCACACCCACCTCTCGGGTGGCAGCCGAGGGCTGTCCACCTGTTTTTACGTTGCGGCCGCATTGTCTCTCAGGTGGAAGGCTCTGCGGCAGGGGCGTTAAGCATTTATGTGTGCGCGTCTAATTAAAATAAGTTCGCATGGCAATGGCACTTCAAAGTCTAAATTGTCCTTATGGCTTACTTTGCCCCAGCTGCGTCGAGCCCAAGGCGCTGCGGACCAATCGCCGCGCGGTCCACCGTGGCTCCTGGTTGCCGTCGTCCCGCCAGATATATGTAATTATAATATTTTTTATTAGCTCATCTGATACGGCGGCGAACAGGAAAATAAAATAAATTCCACCGCCCTTTCCTCTGAGCTGTGTCCGAGACCTTTGGGCTCAGAAGCTTTGATTTTAAGAGCAGAAGAGGAATGTGATGTAAGGCAGATGCTCTTTTTAGTATGTTTAAAATGATGTTTATAAAATATTTACCAACAGAAATCTGTGCTTTCAAATTTATATTTCTGGAATGAACATTTATTTACAAAAAGCCAGTTTTTAAATTTAATTACTCCTTAAAATCTGAAATTAAAATATACTAATTTAATATGACTATCGAACGATCTCTCAATGTTAAGCAAATCGTTGTACTTTCAGAGTATCCAAAAGTTTCGACACAATGCTTCCGTGTTCACCTGACGTTGTTTGTGTCTTTTTGTGCCGGTCGCATTGTTTGTTATAAATTTTAATATACTAAGTATATATATGTTGCAGGTAACACGGCAGCAGCAGCAGCCACAATGAGACCACGCCCCTTTGGCCAAAAAGAGGAGAAACAGGGGCTACAGTTGCTGCTTTTTATCCTCGTGGCTGTCCGAGAGTCCCCGCCGTTCCGGTGTTCCCCCTGAGTTGATAATATAAATGGAAAAACGAAAGGTCGACATTTATTATGAGGCTTTATCAGCAAAGGACATTTGTTCTGTTTTGTGTTATGAACCGTGGATATTCGGCTGCTTGTAACGATGCAGGACACTGTGGGCCGGTCCCGAGCTCTCCCAACTGCCGCTGCTGCTGATGTTTGTCTGCGAAAATTGTTTGCTTCATTATGTCCCGAGTTGTGGCTGTCCGAGGACGAGCACGAGTGCGGGAGCAAGGACGAGGGTGAGTGTTTTCCTTGGGGTGGCATCTGTATCAGTTAGCAGTCATAAGCGTCCGGTAATATGCCACAAAAAAGAGGCGAAAATATACTATCAGGTGCGATCCAAGGCCATAAATTACTGGTGCTTTGTATGTTAATGAGTCCGTGTATTGGAAACTTTTGCATTCCGCTCGACCCAATTAGACCTTATGTAGGGTACAAATCACAAATGCATGTCAGCTGCCAAGCGGTATTGTCGCCTGCCATCCGCATTGTTGCTCCTGTTCGTCCTACTCGTCCTGTTGAGTGCCTAATCTGCTGGCATGAGAATATCGCAGGGATATATGCTGTACAGACCGAGCCACTCGGCTGGCAGTGAGCTCTGCATGCGGTCGTGCTGAGCGTAAAAATCTTCAGTGCCCTGCTATTTGCGCATTTCCGGTTTCTGTCGCACAGCTGCACGTCCTGTTGCCCCCTCGCCACCGTCCTGCTGGCATCCGGCTGCAGCTGCTGCTGATACATTCTTTATACTCGGCAAATATCCTGTTATGCAGAAAATGCTTCTTGCTCCCGTGTCGTCTTAGTGGAGGCGACAGGCTTTCAGCCATGGGAATTATTAACTAAACATGCCGTCAGGAGTAGCAATGGCATTCTTAGGTTCTATAAGGGAAGATATTTTTTATCTGTATGTTTAAGATCAATTTGGAAGCCTTCTCAAGATTTAACCAAACAATATTCAAAATACTAAAGACAAAGCTTGTTTTTAAAGACTATAAATAAATCCAGGAGATTTGCTTCTTTGAAGCAGTAAACCAAAAATTCAATACGGCATATTAAGCATAATATTAGACACTAAATAAGCAAATCAGTGCGAAAATACAGCTGCGATTTCCCGTACAAATTCTAAATATATATCCGTGGAAAAACTTTGCTGGCAAAATGTACTTAGCCGTGTGTACACAGCATTTCCAAGTCAAACAATCTATTTTTTCCCTACAGCCCCCATCTATTGCCCGGGCAAAGTTGAAAAAAGCAATGGCTTGGATTTCACTTTTTATGCTTTCTTATTTTTTCTGGCGAGGGAAACTCAAGCCAACATGAGCACGCCTCCGAGAGACAAACGAAAGAAAGACGAGGGTTGCGGATGACACAGTGAAATCAAAGTCAAATGTAAGTAAATAAAACATATTGTTTCTCTTATAGGAAGACATTTTGCAAAATTACTCCGATTTGCAATGCAAATCAAACATAGCGCCATTATTTTGCTCACACGCACACTCCCCCTACAAGGAAAGTGAGATCGAAAGTGAAACCCCGACGCATATGTTGCTTAAAAATGCAGCCATCATGGAGTCACATTTACACGGGCCTGTGTTCCTGAGTGTCTGTTTGTGTGTGTGCCTCTGCTCGAAGTCCTTGTGATAATAGACACACTCGCACACCCAAACTGCCACACGCATACAATAAATATAAATGGGGCCCGTATCTGTGTGTGAGTCTGCTGGTTTTAACCTGCGGCAGAATGCGGAACAGGACGCGAAAAAAAAACAAGTCAGTAGCCCATAAAGTCGAGTGTCACGACCACTTCATACTCAGCTTTTCTGCTGGAAAAATCAAAGAAAAATCCTTCTAAATAACTAGCGCTTTGACTATCCATTAGCTCGTTCTCAGCTCATAGAAACGCTTGCACTAAATTTTATAAACACAGACTCTATATATGAAGATGTTTCATAATTTCCTAAAACCTAAAATACCCTTGTACACTACGAGGTATTAAAAAGGGACACAAAAAAAAAAAAAAAAAAAAATTGGCAAAAAATATGTTTAAAACATTTTTCTCCGCTTTGCATTTTTTTCCATTCTTTTCCGTTGCCGGTCGCTGGTGCCGCCGTTTTCCCTTCAGCATTTTGTCGTTGTTCTGTTTTTGTAAATTTTTGATTTGTTATTGTTGCACGTGTTGTCTTTTGCCTTTGTTATGACAATCCATCCTTGGCGGCCCAACAGCGAGGCAGGTGGCCCGTGACTCTCCTTGTGCAGATACTTTTTTGTGTGTGCCCCATCCGGGGCATAAATGTTTTTAACGAACTCACCTGTGGGGCATACGCATAAGTAGCACAACGTCTTCGTCATGTCACCTGTGTAAATGGAAAGGCGCGCGTTTAAAATGGAAAGCGAGCCAAAAAAACAACAGTAGATAGGGATGGCCAAGAGCCCCCAGGGAAATAAGGAACCAGCCATATGGAGAGGATCATAAAGCAAAAAAAAAATAAATAAATAAATATCGCTTATAATTTAAGCTTAAAAAACGTATATATTTCCGTGGGTTAGGTTAAAAATTGTTAAAAGAAATTAGAAAGGAAGCTAAGTCCTGGAATCTGAAGGTTGTATAGCCTTGTTGTCAGGAGGACAAATTTTAAATCAATCAAAACTGTATTATTTTGAATTCAGAAAGCTATTCTGTGTTGGTTTTTATTAGGTTAAGAAATGGGAAAATGTATTGAAAAAATTTAAATATTATTATTATATCCTGCTGAGGTATTATTCATACCTTTAGTAATATCCAATGACAGCTTCCAGTTCCTCCAAGTTACCTTTAAAGATTCCACAAGTAAAAATGAAAACACAACTTGGACGGATTATTTTTACAAAATTTTTTTTTCGTTTTTATTTGTTTTCTTTCAATATATTTATGTATACATAATATAATTTTTGTTGTTTATTCGGTATATTTACTTATTTTCATCATTTCTGTGTTGCAGTTGTTCTTTGTTTTTCCATCTTGCTTGTTTTTGCTCTTGTCTGTTATTACACTCTTGTCTCTGTATTATTTTTGTGTTTTTGTTTTGTTTTTCATTTTGTTTTCTCTGCCGTGTCACCTAAGTATAATTTCTCTATGCACTCCGCTTCCTTCAACAGTGGGCAACCCAGCGTCTAGCTCTAAAACCTTTCCTACTTATTGTGGCATCCGCTCCCCTGCTCCTCCTCCTTCGAGATCATCCCGATGAGGAGGTCCTGGCCACTGTGCTCCGCTGACATTGTTGTATAATATTTCGCTTGCATTTCGCAGCTAGCTGTATTTTTTTTTTGCTTTTTTGTTGGAGTTCTCTGGTGCGTTGGTATACAAATACGCAACCAAATTCCCCTCGCTTTTATTTCATTGTTTCTCAACTATAAATATTTTCCTTTTGAATTTTTTTGTTATGCTTAATTTGATTAACTCTTTTAATATTCGTTACGTTGTTTCACTTGTGTGTGTTTTCTTATGCAAATGCCGTTTGTTTGGGTGTATGTTTTGTGTGATTTCTGATGCCGTATTTAAGTTGTATGTATATATATATATATATATATGTATATATACGTATATATATATAGTGTATATTTAATACTTAGCTTATGCATTAGGTTTTCAATTTTCGGCTTTGTTCTTGCTGTGGTTGTTGTTTGTTTGTTTGGTTGTTTGTTTATGTTGTTCGGCCCTCACATTCCGCTACAATGTTTTTCGATTTTTTCATTCTGTTTGCCTTTCGTCTTTGTGTTTTCTAGTCCTTGTCCTAAAACACACTCAAACATGCTTAAATTTCTACAAAATATTTGCAATACTGCAGTCGATATCTATACTTTGTTTACTTTAGTTATTTGCTATTTACTTATCATATTTTACGTCTGTATATATATATCGATATCTGTTTTATGCAATGTGTGTGTGTGTGTAAGTGTGTGTTTACTCTGTGTCCTGTGTGGCCTGTGTCTGCGTGTCAGTGTGAATGTTGTCCTGTCCTCGTGTCGAATGCCTTTCAAAACTTTTCTGGTTTTAGCTTTCATTTTTCCTTTGATGTTTGTTTTGTTAGCAGCTTTTGGTTGTTTGCTCATCGTTTGATTTTTTCTACATTTGCATTTGATTTGTTTACAATCTTAGTGTAATTTTAATTGCATAACATGCCCTCGTCTCCTGCAATCCGTCTGGTTTATTGCACACAAAAATATCCTGGATTAAATGGATTTTGCTTGGTTCCAACGGTGCTCGTGGCTAGTTTACTCGGACTTTACTTTAATGGCTTATATTTTGCTCTGCTCGATTTACAAATAATATTGGGTTTCCCGCTGGAAATTATACTTCCCCCGTTCCGATGATCTGTGGCTCCCAACCCCAGTTGGAAACACGCCCAGAACTCAGATGGATAGTATGCACTGCCATTCTACCTAGAGGGTCGGTCTGCCTGCATGTAAATATATACGGTATAGAATATATATATAATCTGTGTACTCCTTTGTAGCTTAGATAATACTTTATTTGATTGATTTTCGGTTTCGCCTGGCTGCAACTTGATCTCGTTAAAATTTGTTTTCCGTTCGCTCCGGTCTCTCTTCTGGTTTAATTAATGCTATGTGCCACCGTTGTCGCGTTGCGTGTGGTAAAATTTAGCTAACTGCTCCTGTATCCTGCACACCAGTTAATTACACTTTGAATTGACTAATTGGTAATTGTAGTTTATGGTTAATAACTGCAATCGTTTCAGTGGTGGCGGTCGGCTTTGAACTCTAACCAAATTAGTAACTCAAAGCGAGCGACGCGGAATTGAATTATGTTTGACTAATGGCGGAAATGGACTCTAACTGGTTTGATCGGAACAGAACCTGAGTTGCTGAGTGGTAATAATAATAATAATTATCATCGATCGGGCTTTATAGTGCAGCTACAGATCGCTCGTAGTGTTTTATTTTTGGTTTCCTTAAGACCGAATGCTTCTACCAGGGTTGCTAGCTCCTCGGCTGTTTCTGTGGCGTGGGTTTCTTGTGTATAAATACTTTGTATATATATATATATAGACGCATATAAATGACTTAGCACATTTCGCTTAGTTACACAACATAAATACATACAGTTACAGCTGTTAATCATATATTCTTTATATTTTAATATTATTTACTTCGTCGTCTTTGTCAGCTTGTTAGATTCTTCACGTTCCGCAGTTTTATTCTTATTTAGTTTCCAACTCTTCACTATTTCTACGTGCCAACTACCCCTTTTAACTCTTTACTGATATGTAGCGCAAACATTAACAAACAAACCGATAATATTTTTTTGTTTTCTTTTTCCTTTGCCTTAACTATAAACTGTTTCTCTTATAAATGTTCGGTTTTTTCTTCGTTTTTTCTTTTTTTTCCTATCCAAAATTTTGTTTTCTGCAAAACTGTTTTCGGTTTATTATTTTGGTTTTATTATTTTCTTTCTTATTTTTTTTTCGTTTGGTCAACAACATTTCAAATTTTGTTCTCGCCTTCTCCCTCTTAACACAATTTCTAGAAAATAAAATAACAACACAAAATGCATTTGTCAGCTTCAATTGCATCATCATGATGACCCAATCCCGCCCTCTTTAAAATCACATCTACATCTAAGTCGCTTGCCTCGCGCCTCGTAGTTCCTCTAAATTCTAGTGCTAAAAACATTTAAATATACAGTACGACTGCCGCTACTGACTACGGCTATGGGTACGGGTATGTACGGTTGTGTACGTGTCCTGTGATCCTCTGATCCTGGCTAAAATTCGGTGATCATACTGAGTGAGCGCATTCTACCAACTAACACAGTGTGGGGGGGTATTATCGATAGACATTTACTTTTACTGGTGTTCGGGCCACACCCACGTAGCTAAATGCTGGGCTCCGCTAGCTGCAAAAAAATTCCACTAAAAAATGACATAACAAATTCCACGCTGCCTGCCTGCCAGTCGCCGGGGGATTGGGGCGTGTCAAATGCAAATCAAGTATTCGTCCTTTGTGGCTTAATTGTCCGGTTCGAACGAGGGCGATTTGCTGGTTGCGAGTGGCGATTGCGAATGCGATTACGTATGAGTATTGTATTGCTATTTCCATTACTTGGGTATTCTTTTGTTTGTTTGTTTGTGGATGCCCCCGCTTCGATTGGCTTCCATTTTGAACATCTAGTTGTGATTTATCATCGAACGCAGACAACACAATATACAATTAATATATAATTTACCATACGATGCTCCCATTAGTTTTTCTCCTGCGCTCGGTGTCAGCGCGTGAGTGTCTCTGAGAGGTGTGAGTGTGGGTATTTCCTATCAATACGGTCGTCGAGTGTATGTGTGTGTGTGTGAGTGTTATATAAGCAGGTTCGTTTAATGCATACGCTGTATACTCTATGTACTTATCAACCATCGCTATGTCTATGCTTTACCACTTTACATTTATATATACTCTACATTTAGTTTTATTCCTCGTACGACTATTTTTATGTTTCACATTAATGTACTGCTACTGCCTCTCGAAACTCTGCCGTCTGTGGCCTCGAGTGTCCCGGATAGCTCCTGCTCGATCTCCGTGTGTCCCCGTGTGCGTGTGTCGTCTATAAGTTGATTAATGCTTGCCGTTAGGTATTGTGTCTGTGTTGTCAGTTTCGTGTGTGTCTGCGAGGGTCCTGGCTCTCACTGCCTCCTGGATACACGTAATTCGTTAGACTGTCTGTCTCTGGCTGGGCTGCAAGTGTGTTTATTGGCTTATATGATTAGGCGATAATATCTACTTTATTACGGCTATGCTCGATTAGCTAATATCAATTAATATCATTCGATGGCATACTTTGATTGTTTTCAATATATTTTACTTGTGTAGGGGAGTTGACCTCTCTCTATATGTTACCGTATTTATATATATTTTTAGCTACTTGGATATTCTGTTTGGTTATCGGTTCGGTTTCAGTTTGGTATGGGATGCATTTCCGTCTTTATCGATTTCGTATCGATTTCGCTCTCGTTTGGCCTAAACAACAGTGAACTAACACAACAAATTTGCAGCTAACCATTCCTCTTCTGGCAACTGAAATAAAACCATAAACGCATCATGTACAGTGGTTATAACGAGAGTGATTGTTGTTGTTTTTTAGATTTTTGCAGGGGGTTATTCTGGGCTATATTTGTTGGAGGGAAATATTTTTGAAACATTTTTGCGGTATCGTCTGGGGCTGCTTTGTACATGGCTCTCGTTTGGCTTGTTGAAAGTGATGCGAAAATTTAGGTTGTTGTGTGTAAGGGGAGGCGAGTTTCAAGCAAATTAAACACCTGCACTAGGTCCTGCTTATTCCCGCCAAGTAGGCTGGGGGAGAGAGAGAGGGTGGCTGGACTCTGATCTTCCTGGACTTGTATTTCATAGTTGTACTCAGATACTTTGAAGTTCGAACTGCGAGTGCTGTGAGACTGAGACTGTGTTCGTGTGTTTCTGTGCGTGTGTAGGAACCTGTTTCGATTTTCGACTGCTGATCGATCACAAATCAAAGAACGATTGTTGCATCGGTGTGAGTGCGTGAACTTTCAGTTGCATTCGATAGGAAATGATAGCAGGACATGGCGAGTGGCCCGATTTTGGCAGTTGTTTCTAAGCGATATATTCACTAAAATATCCACGTCATCTATCATAGTTATAGGCACTAGTGCTATGTGAGTGTCGGCGTGTGTGGTTGGGGGTGTGCTAAGCTAAAACCAAAAAGCGCACAAAAGTAGGCAATACAAAATGATGCGGGTCCTGCTGTGAGAAGGATGAAGGGGGTAGTGGTTAATGGGGGGCTGCAGAGCTGTTTGTTTGCCCGTCTACCGACGCACACGCACACACACACACAAGCTCAAATATTTTCGCATGTGTGTGTGCGAGCGCGTAATTAATTTTAACGCATTTTTAATTATGTTTATTTTAATTTAATGACGCGACTGCAGGAATGTGTGAGGGTGAGTGTTTGATTTAGGCTGCTACAACCCTCTCGATTCGCGTCCTCCCTGGACCAAATTGTATTCCCCTTTTTTATTTGTGTACGCCATGTTGGCCTTCAATTAATTATTGTTATTATTTTTTTATACGCGTTATGCTCCCACACATTTACATAAAGCATTAAAATATGTTTGCGGGCTGTCGGTGTGACGATGTTCTGGTGGTGGTGTTTGTGTCTGTGTCTGTGTGCTTGTGTTTTGGTGTAAGCAACTAGGGTTTAAAATATTTTGTTCGCTTCTTAGCTTTTTGCATATACATAATAATTGTTTGCCTGGTCCGGCCTCGCAGATATCTATGCTCTAGTTATATATTTAGATATATAATTAGTGTGTATATATATATATTAATATGGGGTGTGTCGTGGCTGTGTAATTTTCATTTAGCTTTGGTTAGGGTTTCGCATTCGCTGTTGCTTTTGCTTTTGCTTTTGCCTGGCTTTGCTTTTGCTTGTTTCTGGGGTGCAGCTCTCTAAAATCGCCAAACTTCGAGTTGCCATCAATTGTTTTGCAATTTGTGTTCTGCGCATCGCATTGTATTTACAGCTCGGTTTGGTTTTGTTTCTGTTTCAGAAAATTGCAGCTGTACTTAAAAATTTTGGTTTGGATTTCGGTATTTGGCTTTTGCGTTTACTGTGCCTGCAAGAGTAAAGGATAAACCTTAAAAAATAATATGGGTGTTAGTAAGAATTGGAAAAAAGTAGTAGTCGGAATAAAAGTAATTGTAATGCAGAAAAAGTGTGTGCAGCAATGGCGGATTTCCCCCTTTTACAACAACTAATTTGAAAGGCAATAATAAATTCGGTTTCCCCGTTCACCGGCCACAGAGTTTTGAATAATGCGAACACACAGGAGATTAACAAATAAAGCGCACAAACAAATTGGCAAACACTACACACGCATATGGCAGGCACAATGAGCACTCAAAGGATAACGCTAATGCTGAAATATATAAGTTTAGCCGCTGCATATGGCACCGAATTTACGATAGCAACGATTATCAAGCAATTCATGCAATGTAAACACAGGCGCTGGGCAAAACCCTTAATATTTTACTACCGAAAAAATTGAAAAAACAATACAGGCAAATCTAAATAAATGTTCATAAAGCAAATTGTTTATTTTAATATTCGAAATTGAATTGTTTTAGCTCGCCTTCCTTGGGCAGGCGCTTATTTAATCAAAAACATGCATGCATATTGACAGATTACAATTGTCTCCACCCACATTCGATATTCAAATGCAAAAGAATAACATTAGCAGGCAAAGGCATTCGGATGGCGATGGAATATTTTGATAGCAGCCGGAAATATGTATGCATATCGAGTGCACACAGCTGCAGAACAAACAACCCATCGCACACTAACGAACCCAACGAATCGAATCCAAAATACATTCAAAACTTTCAACAAACGCAGGAGAGATGCACGAAAAATGTTTCAATGTGTCGGCGGGCAGCGTTCAAGAGTATCTGTGTATCTGAACCAGTGCCGCCGGTATCTGTATCTGTTTCTGAGCATATATCTTCTGGGGGACACGTACCTGTGGGCTCACTTGGAACTGCTGTATCGGATAGGCCACTACGCCGGCGGCCTGCGGAATGGCGGTCCCAGCCACGCCCGTTGCCATCTGCTGGGCAGGTGAGATCTGTGCCTGGGTGACGCCTTGCCAGGTGGCCGGAATCTGCACTCCCATGCTGAAATGAGTGTAGTAAACCAAATATGAGTACACGGTGAGAAAACTAGTAAAACTGATTTAACTATTTAAGGTGTATATTTTCTACAAGAAATTAAAGAAAGTAATATTTACAAATAAAAATTTATATATTTCATTCTAAATTCTGTTGTGTTTCTAGTTTTTTCAAGTGCATAACTGCTGCCGCATTAACTACACTCGCTGATCCGTCCATGGCAAGTCCCTGGAGCATGGTGTGCGCCACAATTACCACGGACGTAGGGAGGAGCGGGAATGCTGGCACCGAAAGCCAGGACATGCGAGTAAGGGGGCGGAAAACGAAATTTACGCGAATGCGATGCAAATAGCACGTTATGTTGACAGCCCGACGGACGCGGAAATGTATTTCATACGGCCGCAGATGAACGACGGTGCAAATGAAAAACTTTCGCAATTAGCAAATGAATTCAGCCATCCGTCATGCTGTCGTTGTAGTTGTCGTAGTCGGTGTTGCTGTTGCTGTTGCTGTTGGTGTCGCTTCTGGTGTTCAGCTGTTCCTCTTGTTGTTGCTGCCGATCCCCGGTGGCGGTTCAATCATTGCACAAAGTACACAACTGAAGCGGGTCGCACTGAGTTCCTCTTCGTGCACAGAGGGAAAAGGAAAAGCTTCTACTACGACATGTTCTTAAATATATATTGTATCTTAATTACCTTTCATTTTTAAAGGAAAATTAAGGTATTCTAAACGCGAAAAACTAACTAGACTAACTAGTATGTTTATTAAAATAATAAAAATTAAAAACTGAGTAGATTTTATAATACTATTTATACTAATTATATTTAATCGAAAAATCCCTACTCACCCCATGTAACCCTGCTGGTATCCGCCGTATTGTCCAAAGTGGTAGCCCTGGATGCCCTGCAGGAACTGGTTCTGCACGGCGGCTGCACTGGCCGCCGCCGGAGTCACAGCGGCCGCTGTGGCCGAGGAGGCCTGGTAGGTGGGCGTGGGCGAGTACCAGCAGCCCGTGGCAGCCAGCTGTTGGCCATAGGCAGCAGCGGCGGCTGTGGCACCCAATCCGTACGGGAAGCCAGCGGCAGCGGCGGCGGCACTGTTCAGCGCCTGGGTGGCGATGGTCTGCGCGTTGTTGGGGTCGCCGCTCTCCTTGCCCCACGAGCACTTCACGGGCTGGGCATTGATCTCGGTGTTGTGAACGCCCACGATGGCGTGAGTGGCGGCTTCCTTGGTGGAAAAGCTGTGGCGAAAACGAAGGATAAATCGTGAATTATCTCCCGGTAAGATCTTTAGAAGTTTTCGAGTAATTTATTGATATAACTTACCGCACGAAGGCATATCCCTTGTCCTTGAAGACGCGGATCTCCTGTATCGCGCCGTAGGGGGCGAATGTCTTCTGGAGCACCTCCTCGCTGAGGGCGGTGAGGGCGCTGTTGACGCCGCCCACGTACACGGTGCAATTGGAGGGACTGCTCTGATTGTAGACCTCGTCGAAGGTCAACGGCTTGATGTTCTCTGCGGGGGCGAGACGGAGAGCAGAGCGGGGAATCCCGGGGTTACACAGTGCATTTTGATGGATCTCGTTTTAATGTTGCCGCCTCGAACGACAATTTATGGCTGGCCGTTTTTTCAGCAAGGAATGCCCTGGTTTTTATTCCCCGACTGCATGATTAATATGCAAATTAATTAACGGATTTACCCGCAACAACAACGCAACGAGAGCTGCCTGGGCAACGTTTTGGTAATTAAAATAACCGCATGCACTTAGTCAATATGCTTGTGTGCGTGCGGTTCCCACATACGGCGCTCGTGTAGGGCCCCGTGTGTCTGTGTGCGTGTGCGAGGAGGTGTGTTGTGTTGAGAGGGGGTGGCAACACCATTTACCGCTGCTTTCTTGTTGTTGCCGCTGCCGTTGCATATTTAAAATTGTTGCGGTTGTTATTGCATTTTTTATTATACGTATTTTGTGGATATACATATTTCGTATGCCGTTTTATTGTCGCCGTGCATACTTTTTGCACTCACTGTATGCTCGGGCCACCGCATAAACATATACACTTACACTTGCACGTGCATATACACAGTAATGGCCCGATTCGACCCCACATTGCCGTTGTCCTGATTGTCGTTCCGCATACGCCATGTATGCACGTATTTGTATGCAAAAGCTACACTAATTACTTCCTTTGAGGTTAAAACTAAATTTGCACTTTTAAAAATAATGTCAGCTTCGCGTGTTTATGTCTTTGTTTAGTTTCTGGCAGCATTTCCATGCATTGTTCGGCCATGCCGACGGCCAGGGATTAGACCCTAATGACACAGCCCAAAGATGCATAGATCGATGTGTGGCAAATCTGGAGTGGGTTGTTCCTACGCTCTTTGTGGATCAGGAAGCCGAGTCAGTCGCAATTGTTTCAGCCCACTTAACATAGGCTGTTAATGGCAGCTAGCCCGCCCCCCCGTTCTCCTTCCTGGGCAGGCCATCAAAATGCCATTGCAGGATGTCTGGATTTGTGTGGCTGCTTTTTGTTTTGCTTTCGACTGCGCAGCGAACATGCCAAAGAAACACACAAAAATATGGCTCAATGACATGCAACAGGATTGCTATACACACACACACGCACAGCAGCAGGACACACAACAAAAATACTAAACAGAAATTTGGTAAACAAAATCAAAAGTTTTAATTGAAATTTGAAGTCATTTAAATTAAATTATTTTTAAAATTATTGAAATTAAGAAGATTTTTAGAAAAAAACAACTAATTTTTAGGTTCATTGTTTCACCTTAATTTATATTTATTTTTCCCAGTGCACAATCTTCTACACATACACACACACAAACGCATTTGGGGCTGAAACAACAATCAAAGTTCGGTGGCGAGGGTGCACCGAAAAAGGACGAAAAACTAACAAGCTCGCAAATACTTTTGAAAGCTTTTGCCACAAATGTATGCGCTTTGGCCACGCACACACACACACACTCACTCAGCACATACACTTAGACTAAATAACAACCACAGCCAACACACTCGCCTGTCGCATGCAAAGGAACATTGCATACTTTGCAGCGCCATGTTTCACTAATTTGCACTCTACCTTGTGTTTGTGCCCCTCCATTTTTTCCCGTATTATTTCCACTTTTTGTTTTCTCTAATTTCTTTTTTACGCTATTAAATGGGTGTAATTAAATTTTGAAAATGCAGCCAACGAGCCCAGCCGCACGCCCTACGTGCTTAGCCTTGAGGCAACTCGGCCAACGCGGCCAACGCGGCCAACTTGGTTAACTTGGCCAACTTGGCCGGCTCTCGTTTCATGTCCGCAGCAAATTAAAGCACTTTCGGCCCCATGTAAGTGCGCCAGCGTGGCCATAATTATCGCACATTTTTGTCTACGACAAACCATGTGCATTCCCATTCCCAGGAACCCGCTACCCAGGACCTAGGACCCCATTCCCATTCGCATTTCATTCCTGAGGGCGGGCAGACACAAATAATTGAAGTCTGGTCAGCCCGAGGGCCATTATGGGGGCAAATAGCGAATGCCATGGCGGCGTTGGCGTTGGCTGTGCCACTGGCTGGCAGGTGCTCCCATTTTTCCCGACGATTTGAAATTTTAATGAGCAATTACAGGCATGTAAAACTAAATCATGAAATAATCACCAAATCATTAACATAAATAATTCACATTTTTACACGCAGCAACGGTGGCGGTGGCAAAAACAACATGAGCCTTGAGGACGTGGCCGGCACTTGAGGAAATTCAAAAGTAATTAATATGCATGGAAATGCTCGTTCATGGGGGCGTGGCTTCGACGAAGTGCCGAGTGCCAAGGGGGCAGATGTCTCGCATGGGCGTGGCAAAGCGCTAATTTGAAAGCTCGCAAAACCAAAATTAACATGTACTTTAAATATATATTTGACTATAATCTTTTTGGAAATTATTTTGAACTGTTTTCTTTCCCCTATCTTTAACCAAACATAAATTTTCATTAAATAAGACTTATTAAATTTGTTTCTAGAAAATATTTCAGGTGCTAAATTGTGCAATATTTAATTTTCCCATCAGAGAAATATATATACTACATTTTCCTGAAACACTCACGCAGCTATCCGCTTTTAGTGACATTTTCCCATCCACAAAACGCATCCACAGGCATTTAAACTTTTACTTAATTGTGCGCAACTCTGCATAAAATTTTGATTTATTGCGTCAACTGGAAACTCTCGGGTAACGAGGGCATGTAACTCTGACTTCCGCAGGTATTTTCCTCCCGGTCCCCTAATAAAGCGCCTCCCAAATGCCACACAGAGCCCACATTCCGAGTCAAAAGTCAAATAGTTTTCGCAAAGAAATTTGTCATACAACATCGTCGACGTCTTTGTGCGCCGCTGTCGTCGGCATATTGTTTCTGGTTAATTAAGTTATTACCATAATGAGCTTGCAGGTATTCCGGGCCTTATTTATGGCCATGCACTGGAATAGAGTGAAGTTCGGCGGCTGACAAAAGGTGGAACTTTGTGAAAAACTTTCCCTTTCCGATGGAAAGGGGACCATAAAAAAAAGGGCCGCGGCAAATGCGTTTGTTATAAACCCGGGGAAAATCGACGAAGGACGCTGTGCCGGGAAAGGAGGAGGAAACTTTTAGCCCGGCACGAAATTGCAGAGCGTCGCCAAAATTGTCACAACTGTAAAATGCGCAATTGCGCCGGATCGTAAATCTCTAGCAACAATGGGGCTGGCAGCCGGCAGAGACACGCTGGCCCGGCACATGAGTGGCTCACTAAACGCGGACGGACATAAAATGTGCAGCCTGCTTAAAACATAAAAATGCCGGGCCAACTCGGCTGGATTGCCAAAAGAATCGAGCAAAGTGGCTGCGTAAAACATGAAGTAATGCGAATGCCAAATGCGAAATGAGTTGAGTGCTACAAATCGTAAAGTTTGCCAGCAGCAGCAGCAGCAGCAGCAGCAACAACTAGGCGGGGCCGTAAAACCCACGGCCAGGCCCCTCTGCCTTTTTACCCCTTTGCAATACACACCCTGCATATGTGAGCGGAACATAAAACCCTTTGGCTGTCCCTTTGATTTTTTTTTTTTGTGCCGACTCAGCCCTCAGCTCCCCACAGTCCTCGAGGCGATCAAAAAATCAAAATTATTTCTCTGTCAAATTGCTAATAATAACTTGTATTACAGGCTCCCCAACTACCGCCCGGTAATTCGGCTCCAGAGCAAAATAGAATGGAACAGACAAAACCGTGACACAGTCAAATAAACAATGAGACCAATAAAAATACGCTTAAGCTTTCATAGGCGTTTTTTATGACAACAATATAAATGCAAAGGGAAAATATTATATTCGGATGCCCAACCCCAACCCGAACCCGAACCCTTGCCCTACTTTCGGGCCTCTGCACGATAAATTCCACCTTGACTCCAACTATGTAGTTTCCCTCTTCTGCCTGGGTGTGCGGGTGTGTGGGAGTTTGACTTGAAGAATGCCAAATGTTTGTTGTATAACCGGGGAAATATCCCCCGTCTGTGTGTGCGCCTTTTATGATAATAGTTTCGTGTTGGCCAAATTTATTTATCTGATTTGGTCGGGCCCCAGTGCTCGGCAGTGTGTGTGTGTGTGTGTGTGTCTAACAAATAAAAATTATGTTAAAACATGCAAATATGCGTTAAGTTTTGATTTATGAAAGACAAACGAGGGAAGCCCCGCGCATGTTTGTACGCTGTTAATAATGATTACGCCCCCGGCTAAGTATATAGTTACGGTTACGGCTACAATCGGATGTCTGTGCGGTTGACAACGAAACCAAAGGGGCGCCAAGCGAAAAGGAACCCAAGCCGTCTCCATAAATTGGGGGGCGTGCCACGAGGCCTAAATGAAAATTGATTTGCCGGTCCTAATTGAATGCCTCTAGATGGTTTTTATATATTTTTGGGTCGGCGCTGCGGCGCCTGGCGACTAATTGAAAAAGTTTAAACCAAATTGGGTACAGCCCATTACGGAAATTAAGCGCGTGCGGTTAAGAAAGGACAAATATTAAGAAAACATAATCTGCCAGAAAATTTGTACGACGTTTATAAATAGCGCGAGGTTTTCCTGAATTTCTCCCACCCGCCTGGAAAATCCCTCCATCCCATCCCCTTCCCGTATTTCGCAGCCTCCCTGGCACAATGCCTGTGTCAGGCCACCTTTGGCATTCATTGCCATAATTTCCTGTAATAAGACCGACGCGTCGTCGACTGCCTTCATGTCTGGCTCGGGCTTCGGCTCTCTGGCTCAGGTCTGGACTCCGGGGTGTACGCACACCGGAAGCTCCGCTGGCCTGCCGGCTGGGGTGACACTCATGATTTCCTTACCTTTACTCGCCGGCGGTTTCCGTGTGGCCCAATTCGTGCGGATTGAACGGGAGCCAAGCCACTGGCCATTCATGGCCGTAATGGCGCTCTCGGCTTCCTGCGGGGCGATAATGAAGACAGAGACATGGTCAGAAACAGAGTCGGAATAAAGAGAGCACGGAGAAAAAACTATCGCTTTGGAAGTGTCATTTCTGTACTTTTTTTATATTATTTTAATGGAAATTTAAAGATATAATAAAGTATGATTTTAACTTTACCAATATAATTTAAAAAACTACATGTAACTTATAAATATAATTACTAGATGCCAAAGTAAGGATCAAGGATCCTGCTACATGTAAGTCTCTTAAATATTATTAAAAATAAATCAAAACAAGGCTTAATTTTTTCTCAGTGCATTGACAAAGTCTGAATAAAGAGCCTGCGCACGACTGCATAAATATGCACTTAAATATGCTAATGCCGCTGGCAGTTCTTACCGATTTCTTGATGAAGGACACAAAACCATAGCCCTTCGACTTCAGGGTTTGTGGATCGCGCACCACGCGGCAGTCCCTGAAAAAATAAGAGAAGAACACGAAATGTAAACATTAAAGGCCTGCAACTGAGTTTCTTAAGTCTTAAATGTATTTTTGCGACCGCCAAGCCACCCTGTTCCAAACGGAAGTGTGCTGGCAAACTTTAAAATTTATGCAAATTCCTCATAAAGTCATCTCTTTCGGGGTCCCCAAGTCCCCAAGTCCTGCTCTTTGTCTCGGTCTGCCCGACGTGTTCAAATATTTCCCTTCGAGTACAAAATACAAATATATTCCGTCTGAGTTTGCCGGCGTGGGCGTGGCTCCTTGTAATTCGGAAATTAGAAATCTGACCTCATGCTGGAAAGTTTTTATTTATCTTGCAGTTTGGGGAGGCTGCCGAGCTGCCAAGAAGCCATGCGGCTTAAACGACTCATCTCTTCTCATGTCCGGACTTTAAGATAAAGAGAAAGTTTTGATGAATTTTTATTTTATCCCAACCACTGTTGATCTTCCGTGACTCGCCCCTGGAAATCGAACTACGGCCATTACAGTGAGGGGCCGGCTCGTTTTGGTCACTTGTGCCAATTGGGCGACTTCCGGACCCGACTCCAGCTCCGGGGTCTCCAATTGATTTCCCCCAGCTTCGGCTCTACGACTTCTCATTTGGACAATTGGGGCCTCAACACCGCACTAAACCGGGCTGCCAGAAAACTTTGGCAATTACCCCCGGTCCGGCAGTTTACTTTTCATTTATGAAGCATAAACCACAGCGGCGGCGAAGTTGGCGACGCTGGCCGGCCACTTTTTTTTATGATTATTATAAGTAAAATGCCGGGAGACCCGCCGGGGTTTGGCTCCGGCTTTGGCTTCGGGGGCTTGTTGCCAGGACTTATTAAATATTCACACGCGCCGCGCATTTAACAAAACGAAACAAAAGTGCGTCGGGGCCCAAACATAATGCCAAAACCAGGCAACACCAAAAGCCGGGCCACAATGCAAAAAAAAAAAAAGAAAGAACGGAAACCAAGAGCCAAAAAGAAAAAAAAAGGAAAAACAAAAAAATAAACCAAGAAAAAGGGCAAACAAGGCCAGGCACGCATAAAAGTTTTGACAGGCGGAGAGGGGACATCTTGATCCCTGGGAGCCGCACGACCGAATCCTGCCGACTTTGTGCGTTAAGCGTTTTGACATGTCGGCTAGCAGATCGACTCGGGCCCCAAAAGAAAAACCAAAGAAATAAAGTTCTTTAAGCCAGCAGCAACCGGCGGCACTTCCCACCTTCCCAGCCCACTTCCCATCCCGAGGCATTCCGTTCCCGGCAGATAATCAGCCGGCGACGTGGGCTGAGGAGTATCGGTGATAATGATGTCAGCGATAGCTATCACAAAGGTGCCAATCGATTGCTCAATAGGCCTTAAATGCGTAGCCATCGATACCGGCTGTCAACAGTCAGTGATGTTAAGGTATCACATTCCGGGTCAAAATATAATCATATGATTTGTTAATGATTTGTGAGTTAATTTAGCAATTTTCTTTTTCCTTAAACTTCATAATTTCTGTATATTTAAGACTCTGTTTAGCTTAGTCAGCAAGTTGGTCATCACTGTCTTGATTTTCCTAGAGATTTAAGCGAAAACATGACCAGCTCATTAACAAATCAGACGAACCCTTTAGCCCAATCAGGACCAGAGTCATTAGAATGATTTTCAAATTATTAAAATTTAAATTGGCCATCGGCGGGAAGATGAGCTGAGCAGATTGCTTGATGGACTGGCTGACTGGAGCCCCCGCTTCGCGACTCAGAGGAGCGGCAAATCCGAAAATCAAATACTTTGGCGTAATTTTTGATAAGCCGCCGCAGGGCCTCCCTTTGCTGGTAGCTGGTAGCTGGGAAGAGGAGCTGCTCCCAAGAGACGGACTAACATTTTGACTCGAAACTTTGCGATTAAACAGAAGTTAATTAAGCCAAGTTTTTGATGCTGTCGTTGCCACGGGAGAGGCGGTAAGTGGTCGTGGGTGGGCTAGTGACTTTGCCTTTTCAAGCCGAAAAATAGCAACTTAAATATTTGAATGGCTCCACTACGCTTCCGCCTTTCGGGGCGACACTTACAGACAGAGAAAAGAGTTCGCCCAAAGTGGCATTTGCATAAATTCATTTTTTGTCGCTCGGTTATGAATTTTTTATGGGAAAGCCGGAGCCTCCACACGCGCCTGCCAATAATCAGGGAATGTGTGACGGGAAAATGGTTGCCAGGGAAAGTGGGAGAAATAAAAGCTGCAGAATGGAGAACGGGTGAAAGGCAATTTCCAGTTAACTGGCAAATGGAAAATTTGCATTTTAATACTTACGAGATTTCGCCGAATGGTGTGAATGCTTCGCGCAATTGCTGAGTTTCAATTTCTGAGCTCAAGTCGCCGACAAAGATGTGGAATTGTTCTGCAAAAAAGAAGGAAAGAGAGAGTGCCAAGTTGAGTATCGGGGTTTTTTCGCAGATTTTCACAGATTTTCGGCGAAGGGTTTGCTGCTTGCCACTTGCCACTTGCCGCTGGCGCATCGTGAATCGCACAAAATATGTGCCAGATAAAAACGCAAATCAAAAGAGAATCCCAAGTCATGCGCTTTTATTTCGCAATTTATTGCCAGCGCTGACGCAGTGCTTTAATGCATATTCACAAAAAAACGAGAGAGGAAAAACGTCAAGTCCCAGGGAAAGAGAACTTTTCATATATAATTTTATGCTGCATAAGCAGAGATAAGTTAATTGAAATCACAAAGGAGCCGCGCAGATTGATGGGTTCAAAGAATGGCTGCCTGGCGGGAAGCGATGACAAAACTTGCCGAGTCTTCAGCGGACTCTGTATTAGTTTTCAAAAGCGTCGCGCAAAACTTTGCCAACTGTGTGCCATGCCCCCTGCCCCCTCACCTACTCACCCCGCCAAGAATGTTCCCATTAATACTAATTAACCCATTCATCTAAGTAAACTTTGCGCGCTCGGTTCTTCTGGCCCCATCATCAGGCCGAACATCATGTACACATGCACAAATTCAAAGCCGCTCGCCGTCATGCAGACTGCACAAACACAAGTGCACCGGGTGATGGGCAGGATACCCAACCACACTTTTACATACCCACCATACACACTAGAGAAATTGTACAGAAAATAATAGAGCAGAAAATCAACAGCAACTTGGGGGTATATCAAAATTTTCAGCCTTTTAAATATTATTTCAAAATCATAATCCTTAAAGGAAACAAATATTTTTTACAATTATTGTTAATTCTAAACCCAAGTAGTAAATATTCTTAGAGTGTACTCACACACACAGCCGCAAACTCGCATGCAAAGCAAGCAAACTAAGACTAACACACCCGCACGAATTGCAATCATTTATTATTATTTTTGTGTGCTTTGTCTCTTTGGCACAGAAAAAAGTCGCGACTGTGAAGGAACTATGGGGGCAAAAGGGTTGACGAGGAGGGAATGCTGGGGATGGTGCCTTGGGTGGCATGGGGCTGCTGCTCCTCGTCGCTTTCGTTGTCCTTCGTGCGCTCTTGTGGCAGCTCAGCGCTGAGCTCCGAAAACTCACAGCCAAGACTTGGCAAAGGCAAAGCCAAAGCCAAAGCCCGGCGACGCACGTGGGGTGGTAATGGGTTAAGGGCCAATGCAATGGGGCCTTTTTCGGGGGGGTTGTCCCAGCCACCCCTAACACCCCGCGTACAAGCACACAGAGAATTCTTACCCTAAATAATTAGCACTATTCAGCTGGGGCCCACTGACGGCGACGACGACGACGACATTCGAGGCTGACATCGCCGTTGGGCGCGGCTGATGGGCGGGCCAACCCCCAAAACAACCCCTCATCATCCTTTTCCCCCCGGCCGACGGCCTTGCCTGCTGCACGTGCAGAAATTAACATTTCCGGTAATTTTGCGAAAATGAAAAGCAAAGCGAAAAATTAACGGCTACGTCGTCGTCGTCGTCGTCGTCGTGGCCGCAGCGAAGGCAAAATGCGAAATGCGGAAAGCTTTTGTGTTAAATAAATATTAAAAGGAATTTCCCAGAGCCAGCGGAACTGATGGAGACGTGGCAGGACCCGGGTGGCGGAGGAGCGTTGACTGAGCAAGTTGAATCGTTGTGATGTGCGGCCTGTTGGCCTTTTAAAAACACAAACCGAACGAGTAAATCTCTGCGTGTTCGCATTTACAAATGTACGCATTGGTGCAGTGAAAAAAATTAGGGAAATTCTAGGAATATTAAAAGGTATATCAAATATTTCTATATTTATTTTACAAAATATTTTTTCATCTAAAATTGAAAAGCATATATTTTCATAATAAGCATTTAAAGGCGAGTCTTTTTTGACATCATATTTGTATAATATTTTACCCCCATAACTAATTAACACCTTGGTCAACCAAGCAAATTTTCCCTCAGTGCTCAGGTACGTGTGTGCGTGGCCACTTTTTATTTAATTGGAAATTGCGTATACGCCACCGTTAATGAGCCCATTGTAATCGCAGCGGCAGAGCAGAACAGCGCGGCTTAGTCTACCGAGGCAGCTCAACTCAACTCGACTCGAGTGGTTGCCGTTATTGTAAATCAATCGCCGAGGTTCGCTCAGGTTATTGCTTTCGCCCTTTTGCACCCGGCCCGGCTCAAAGGAAAGAGCCAGGCACGCAACTTGCGAACAGCGAGAATTGCGAGCTCATATCCTTGGGATACAGTTAAGCCCATCTGCGTGTGTATGCGGGACAGACAAACGAGGCGGCCACTAATTGCAGTCAAAGGCTGCTTTAAATTTGCACTGCGCCAGAGGTCGATTGGCAGCTCACGGGGACGAGAAGCAGGCGGAAGACCACCCCCAGATTCTTCGACTACTGCTCCCGCTCCTGCCCCAGCTCCTGGCAGCGGTGTCAGCATGTCAAGCGCTGGCAGCTTTTCATTTCTTTTGCTCGCTTCCGTTGTTCCTTGTTCCATTGGCCGTGTCGGCTCGTTGGCTGATTAAAACGTTGCGTATGTAATGAGTTAATTAAGTTTTTGCCATCGTTACAGTCACCCATTGTCGTTGTCGTTGTCGTTGTCTCGCACACATATGTGAAAACACACACAGCCATGTGTACATAAATTAATCATAAATCCTTGCTAGGCAGCACGGCAGTTACAAGTGTTTTGTATATTTGCCGAGGACGCACCTGTCCCCTTTCAGCTTGCCTGGCTTCCATGCCTGCGAAGCGTTAACAACCAACTGAACCAGTTGAGTGAGCCAGGTGAGTGAGCCAGGCGAGTCAGCTAGCAGGGATCGAGACTGGGAGTGAAGGAAATGAAGCAGCTTGAAGGAGCCCGGGAAGCAAGGAGTTGCCTTTGGACTAAGTGTGTCAGCAGGGCTGACTGCCGCCTTTCGAATGCCTCCTGCCACGCCCACTTGTACCATTTGATTAAAGACGGAAGCTACCCTGCAGTACCATTCATCAACAATTCATCAACGTTTCATCAATAGCCGAAGGGGTGTTGTTGATGATTCATCGATGAATGGCCATGCAAATTACTGATGAATTTAACATGGGCATGTCATAGGCATTCATCAACAACAATTCATCAACAATTAATCATCATTTCATCGATGAATTGTTGATGAATTACTGATGAAAGACTGATGAAATGTTGATGAATTGTTGATGATTCATCGATGAATTGTTGATGAATTGTTGATGATTCATCAACAATTCATCAACATTTCATCAGCCTTTAATCAACAATTCATCATCAATTCATCGATGAATTGTTGATGATTTTTTTTTCATATATAAAAATAAAACTCTTAAATTTTTATTAATATGATTTATTCTTCCTAATTCTATACCAAAACTAAAACACAAATATAAAAAATTAAGATTAAACATCCATATATTAAAAGGCCTTAAGGTTTTTTTGATCCTTGGTGTTCCGCTTTCTATTCATGAAGACCAAATTTATTGCGCAGTATCTTCTCTGGAGGCTCAGTTTTAGTCACTTGGGAAATTGCATCTACAGAAAAAATTATAATTAATCAAGGGAAAATATAATTTCATTAAATAAAATTACCCAATATATTGGCCATTACTGCAGTCTGAAAAGAAAATACATACATAATATGTACATATATAAATATAATATATTAATATATTATATACATATAATAAATAAAATAATATACATATGTACATTTATAGGCTTCTATTTAATTAAGAACAATCTTTTTACTCACCTTTTTTTATATTCCAATATGGCCCGGAACGTAATTATTGAATTATTTGATTTCTTAACATTTTTAACACACGACACTTCTGCAGTGGAGAACACTTCAACTTGTAATGCAAAGGGAATAAGAAGAAGCAAGACGAAACCGAAAACCGCTGCTCCGAAAATATGGAGTCGAACCTTCGAGAATCTATTTTAATTGCGTCTTCTACTTTGTTTCGGACTACAAAAAACGAAGCCCATGCAAATTGTTTTTGTTTTTTTTTGCATGCACCAACAAATCGGACTCGAAGGGAGTTCGGGTCTCCGAAGGGAGTTCGGGTTCAAGTAGCAGTCGGCAGAGCGTCGGTTCTGTCGGCGTCGCAGTCGGCGCGTTGATGAATTGTTGATGAAAAGGCCTATTGATGAAATGTGGTACTGCAGGGTACTCAGGATGTATACACGTGTATGTGTGAACACTGAAAGAATAAGAAACACTGAAACATAAAAACTATACTTGATTTATATTCTCTAGTCGGGAGAAGTCATAAGAAAGCTGTAGAATATCTATATAAATAATTTATTAATGTAGAATAGTTCCCTCACTCTGGGAACTCTAGGTTTATAGAATTTTCCCTCCAGTTCAAGTTAAAGCTTATTTCTTGATTGTTTAATATTATTTTTCCAGTGCACAACTATCCCATTTTACGCCTTGACTTGCCTGGGTGCTGCTGCCACTGCTCTGTTGGCTTTAGTTGTTGTAAATTTTATGTTATCCGCTTTCATTGTTTGTTTGCCTTTATTTATGTTCCCCACTGTCTTTGGTGGGCCTGTATGTGTATGGGCGAAAGAGAGAGTTTACTGATTTGCCGCTGTTATTTATGCGTTTGTGCTAAACCTTATTTCCTGTTTGTCTTACATAAGCTGCAGCGCTTAATTACACGCAACCCCATCGAGGACACGATTCCGGGCAGGATGTGGCCGGCTGATTTTACCCCTGGGAGCCAAATTTCGACCCGCGGCCAAGATATATGTGCCATCGATGTGGACCCTAATGTTTTATTGACCGGCCGCCTGCAATCTCATTTGGCAATTCACTTTGTCGCTGCCTCCGACACACAGCATAACCGACCACACGGCGTATGCGTAATGGCAATTATGAATTCGCCAGCTAAGTGGGGGAGTGCATTAAAGCTAAAAACGCTTAGCCGGCGGTCG